ATGCACACACTTCATGGTCACTCGCACACACCTGGGGAGGGAGAATTTTCACTCTTGTACTGTTAAATGAGAAGTGATGGGGTATTAAGGTCAATCACGATCCAGTTGACTCCTCATTCTGGCACGAGCACCCCTCCTATTAAAGTGGCGGTAAACAACGACAAAGATGATGATGAAAATGGCCCCAGCAATCACAACCCCTATGAAAATCCACACTTTGTAGTCTATCTGGAAATCTTTATTACTTGGTTTCCCTGAAAAAGGTTGCAGCACAATTTAATATTTGTACCCTGCATAAGTTCATGTAATGTTGTATTTAATAATATGTGAAATATCTATAATATATATGGCATCAATTTATACATAAAGCATGTAACTCTGAATAGACCTGCTGCACTATACCTTTGTCCTTGGGCTTACTTCCCAGCACTTTCAAGCAAGGAGACACACTGGCTGAGGCTCTCTCTCCTCCTGGCTGTGGGTCCTTGGCTGTACCCCACAGGATCAGTTCATACCACAGCAGTTTACCTGAAAATACAATCTTATATATACATGTATTACAATCATGGCACACATAACAGAAATAATCTGGTAATGACATTATGTAAAGTCCTTACTATAAAATAAGGGGTATTTTGTGATTTTTTTTTCCATCAACCACATCACCTTTTGGGTAACATTTTACTGTTCATTCAATTTTAAATCAGCGCTTATTTCCAGAAAAATATACAATTGTCTAGACATTGCCTGCAGGACAAAATATATTCCCTCAAGTCCTGCATACCCTGAGCTTGTACACATAGCAGATGCAATGTGAGCTTTTTCATTTTCAAATGTATCCATTTGTTATTCCATATCTATTCATTTGGCATTTAATGTGGAAATTTCAGAATGAAGAAGATCGTCTTTATTGGATCTGAATCTCTGGCCATATTTTAAAATTATAAAAACTGTACAGCATTAAATAAGAGAAACATCACATTCTTCATATTCTCATTCCATCTGATTCGAATTCTTAATGCTTAGCAACAAAACCTCCTTAAAGTTATATTTTACATCAATATGACCTTTACCTGGACTGGTATTGTCAATGGACAGTGTCCAGTTCCCTGTTGGTTCTTCCCCCCAGGACTGGACAGTAGTGAACACCCAGTTCAAGGTGCCTGCCCGGTGGTCATTGGGTCTTGCTTCCAACAATCGTGACACTGTCCCCTGGGGAGAGGTCAGGGTGACCCTGAGACCACTGAAGTCATCTGTTGTCAAGGCAACCCTCACCTGGACATGCTCCAGGCTGTTGACCTCTTCTGGGTTACCATGACAACCTGTTATATTCCGCTGGAGGGTCAGTGGGGCTCCACTGACAAAATCCCTAGAAAGATTTTTTAAAATAGTGCATGTAAAACTTTCCTTTTGCCACCTTCAACATGCATTTTCTATTATTAACTGGACATCACTCCATCACTCTTTATACTACAATCATTTTCAGCACTCTTTTCCTTTACTTACTAAGTTTGAGTGGACTGTTACACACATAATATCTATCAATTTTATTTCATGAAAAATAGGTATGTTGGCAGAGAAAGTATTTTCTATTTAAAATGATCACTTTACATATACACAGCAGAAATCCCACTGGGCATTTTCAATTTTTTTTTTACCAAGGTCTCATGGAAACACACTGTGGTACACACTTAACATCCAACCCAGACAGCAGTGTCCATCATTTGTGAAAATTTGGGAGGCACTACATACCTACCTTTTACCAGGGTCACATATTAATTTTTCACTTGATATTCACAGACATATTTCTTTGGCTAATTCATATCACAATTCTGTGCTGGAGAAAATTGCACATAATTAATCTGTGGGCCTTGTAGAGGGTAGGCACTACCCATCATTAAGAACACTGTCAGCCCTGATCTATAGGAACACTTGTCAGTTGGAGCATTTCAAATTGAAATTACTTATTCACTTTATTTTAACTGGGCCCACTTGTCACTCCTGTGGTGTGTCTGTCAACAAATTATTGAGCAACAGTCAGCTACACTATAACAAATTACTCAGCTAAATTTTGCACGCTGTACCACACTTTCTTATCACATCTACCATGTTTATGTCTAACCTGACTAGATACCCTCCGGGGCCGTAGCGACAGTCCGAAGGTTCAATAGTCCGAAGGTTCATTGGTCCAAATGTTCACTATAGAACCTTCGGACCAATGAACCCTTGATTAAAAAATCGATGAAAATGTTACCACTTTTCGGACCAATGAACCTTCGGACCAATTAACCTTTGGACNTATGTCTAACCTGACTAGATACCCTCCGGGGCCGTAGCGACAGTCCGAAGGTTCAATAGTCCGAAGGTTCATTGGTCCAAATGTTCACTATAGAACCTTCGGACCAATGAACCCTTGATTAAAAAATCGATGAAAATGTTACCACTTTTCGGACCAATGAACCTTCGGACCAATGAACCTTCGGACTATCGAGACGCCCCCTACCCTCCAACCAGTCACTGAACCACATGGTCTGTCACTAGTTACTATACTTACTCTCCAACTGGCTGTATATTACTGGTACACATCTGCTGTTGTCCCACTGCTGCAGAATCCCAGATCTTTGCTATGCTTATCATCTTTGTGGCATCCAGCAAACCAAAACCAAACATGTGGCTCACTACATTACAGGAGAACACATGATGTGCCAACACAAAACATTATGTACTCATAATACTTAATATTAATAAGTATAATACTTTATCAAAACACTGCACGCTGACTTATTTTTTAAAACAAATTCTGAACTTTTTTTTTTAACATAACAAAATCGATCCTGTATGACAAATTGGCAAATACTGTACTATTGACATATGTAGTATGTACCATGGAATCCAGCTCCATTGGTCTGCCAGTCGCCACTACACACTGCCTCTGGGTTGGAAGATCGGGCTAAAACATGCTGCACATCTCTCCATGTTAAACCGGGACTGAAAAAGACTGAAAGTGTTTTATTCCAAATCCAACACTTATCATTTTACCAACCAAGTTCACATGATAGTACTCAAAACTGTCAAGTAAACTTAATTAATCGTTTTTTCTTTTTTTTAATATTGTCTGTAATGAATATCAAGAATGAAACCAAACCAACATTTTGCAATTTTCATTTCAGAAATTAAGTTATTTCACTGCAACAACATATTTTAATTTCTTGTCATTTACTTCAACAAAAGCATCCTTATCTACAATGTCAAAGTGAACTCACTTGCAGCCCAGGTTCTGAATATGAGATATACATTAATGTGACAAAACATGCAAATATGGGTCAACTTGGCTCCAAGCAATCACACAAAGCTGGGGTAGCGCTAACACTCGCCAATTTAGCCAAATGCTAGAACTGGCCTTAATTGGCTAAAGAAAACAGGCTTGATTTGACTTGTTTTAGTCAAATTATAACCATTTTCATAACAAATTGGCAAAAAAGTGGTGATTTGGCTAAGCGAAAAAAAATTGCTAGCGCTACCCCAGCAAAGTGTGATGGCAGTTGTATATGGTGGCTGGATTCATTTATGTCCATAAGTGTAAGCATATCCTGCTATTATGTTTCTTGTTCCTGTGCCTTCATTTTACCAACTGCCCAAACAGTGGAACATGGCAGGATACGAAATCAATGTCTATCAATAATCAACTCTAAAAACTTGTTTCACTGCCAGAGAAAAAAATATGTGCACAAACACTGAAATTACTCTATACATTCACTTTTATGGTCAATAAATAAGTGAAATATTTATTATCTTATTTTTGAAAATCAGAATTTCACCACATTTGTTGGGATGCAGCTGGTTGTATTCTCCTAGCAGCTCATGCATGTTTCTTACAAGGCAGTAAATGTTATGTGATAAGCAACAGAGGGATGCCATATCAATCCAGCCACGATTAATCAACCACTATCTGAAACTCTTAAAGTTCACACTAATTAATACAATTGACTTCAAACATTATAGCAATCACACCTACTGCAATGCTCTAATGGACTTACTTGGCTTCAAGTGCTAAAGCAATCACACCAGCAGCAACAGATGCAGCAGCAGAGGTGCCAGAAAAGTTCCCTGTGCAACTATTCCCTGCTGAAGTTGTGACCTAGGATATTAAAGCAAATTAACCATTTGTTAAATTAATACATGACTTAGTCTAGTAAATGCAATATTGATCAATTTTACTATAATAATTAAAGTCTACATACAACATAAACCATGGTACCTTATATTATAATCAAAGATAAAGCAATTATTGCCATAAATCAACTAACAAAAGCAAACCCTCACAAACACACTCCTGAACCTCTATAAAACTGATAACAAATAATAAGCCATTTTAGAGGAAAACCAGACTTACAATACTATGTGTGCTTCCTAGCTGCCTGCTATATGCTGTTGCCATGGTTGCACTACAGACCTCAGCATATTGCGGTATGCTACCGTCACTCTGAGCCCCAGCTATAGGTATGGTGTATATACTACCTACATAGCCATCTGTTCCGCAGTTGTCAGCTTCACCGCCATTACCAGCAGCCCACACATAGATATGCCCCTTACCTTCTCTGCCCTGGAGATTTACACAATATACACTCATTTTTTTATAAAGCATATCGACTTTCTTCACCACTGTTACAATAAAACATAGTCTATAATCATCACTGATGTAACAAATACAATTACCACTGTGACTACAAACAGCAGCACAAAAACACATCACCACTGTCACAACAAACACAATCACTTTTATCAGGGAAATTTCCAAAAACACAACCAAAATTGTTATAATAAACACTATTACCATGATGATAAACACAACAAACATTTTTTACTGTCACAACAAACTTAATCACCATTACCATATCAAGCACAATCATAACTGTCATGACAACACACGTTCTGAATTGTTTATATCACCTGTAATAAACGTACGTACCTCCATGATGCCATCCTGTAGAGCCAGCTGAGCTAGATTCTCTGGGGCATCCCAGGTCTTGCCATCATCGTTCACCCCCCAGCTGTTGAGGTAAATGTCTGCAGAGTTGGCCCTGGACTCCTGGTAAAGTGTGGCTGCTTCTAAGGCATCAAAGGTCTCCTTTGCTTTGTTGAAGAACTTTATAGCTGGGATGAACAATTTCCAGTGCAAAGGGTTAAACATTGATATACTGCTAACTAATGGCAAAGACAGTGTTAGTGAATTTGCTCATAGGGGTATGTAAGGAAAAGATGATATGATAAGAGAATATTGTTTGCCTTATTTGTGTTTTCCATGTTTAAGTTCCTGTGGACATTTGAAGACAAACTTTATTTCTTCACCACTTTCAAAAATATGTAGAAAGACACATTTCTGTTATGTAGATAGATAGTTAAAATGAAGTATAAACAGTATATTCAAATAAAAGATAATATCATGTGTTCTTACCTCCAATTTTAGCATTGTATGCCACTCCTGTTCCACACACACTATTGTTAGCTGTTGCTGCCACTACTCCTGCACAGTGGGTGCCATGGCTGGGGAGCAAACGGACAAAGACACCAAGGATGAGTAGGTAAAATTTGCATCTTTTTTTATGAATCCTCATATATCTGAGCAGAGGATACTTACTGTTAGTTCTTTTCATATTTATCTATCTCAGGGTATCAAACTATTTTTATTTATTTATTTATTTATTTATTTATTTATTTTTTGAGACAGGAATTTTTCTTTTCTATTTTTCACTATTCAAATATATACATAGATCAAGATTGTTTCTAGAATCATTTCTTTTTGATACAAATCAACTGCGCATAATTATTAGACATAAGACAAGATGATAATTTTTTTTCAAAGCATTAAAAAGGGGTGATAAAGTGTTCAGTAGGAGATGAGCTATAATACCTTCTGCCTTCAGGAGGACTCATGTTTTTATCATTATCAATAAGGTTCCAACTTATATCAGGATCCTGAAATCAAAAGGAAACATATAACAAGATTAATTTATGAAAACTCCAAATAAAATCATAATAGTTTTAAGCAGATATTTTTTAATTATTTGTTTCTCAAACAGTTTTTATTTTCATCAGAGGTCAGAGGGGGAAATTTTAAAAATGTTTTTTTTTTATAGTTACTTTTTAAACTAAAATCTCAGCTGCACTACTGTAAAACTTGTAAGTTTTCATGTTTATTTTATTCTGATGTGACTATATGATCAGTCAGATATCGAAATAAAAAAAAAACTTTGTGTCTATTTTTTCTATTTTGCGATTTTTGAGGTCAGTGGAGTTGGAGAAACCAGTAATCAAAAATATCTGCCTTAAAGTAAACTTTCTACTGCAGCTGCAACAGTTTTTTTTTTCCGTTTTGATAGAACTAAGAAGCTGATGAATGAAATACTTGTTTCCCATAAAAATAAAAGTGATCCCCATTAGCATCATGAGATCACAGATATTTGCTCACACACACACACACACACACACACACACACACACACCCATATAATGCTCAGCCTTCCTGAAGACATCTACTGTACTAAGTTATATATACTGACTGATTCACTGATGGACTATGGGGACAGTTTGGGGGTATAATTCACATATATACTTTATCGGTTAGTGACTCCTTATAATCAAAAGAAGGTTAGAAATTGTTATTTTTTAGCTAGTCATCAACCTAAAAAGACAATTGGTAACATATTTTTGATTAACGAGTACATGTAACCTACATGATTGTATTTTTAGAATAATAATTTATATTACATATCATATCAATTGTAATATTAATAGAAATCTGCAATATAATATTTTGAATGGTTACCTACATAATTCTCCTTAATATCTGGATGTTCAATGTCCAACCCATCATCGTTGACCACTACAGTCACTCCTTGACCAGTGTATCCTTGCCCCCATGCCTCACTTATGTGCATACTGGACCCTGAACCCTGCAAAATATTGTAAAACATAATGAAATTCATTAGTGACCATTAACATCAACGATAAAATACTCCAATACTATAAATTAGTTGCATATCAACATTATCACCACTTTTAAAACAAATATCATCATTGTCATAAAAAGTGTATCCTTATATGTACTGCTAGTAACATAATTATTTTACTATTTTGTAAGGTTGGACTCTTTTTATATACCACACCACAATTAATGTTATCAATTATATAATTGCTGTTTTACATTTTCTAGGGCTATATGTTCATTTGTTTGAAACCATAAGAATGTTGCTGTTTGTCATCAGTTCTAATTAGCAAATTCATCCCGATGTATTTTGTAATGTGACAGCATTATCTCATAACATGACAAAGTTTTATTCTGCATTCTCAAAGCAGATATATAAGGTAATAGATCCTAACTTTTTGAACCACGTCCTTGAAGCAAACTTTCAGTCTACAGTAAAAACTTAAAAATTTACTCCGTCTTGAAAATTTTTTCAGAAGACAATTCTCCACTGACATATTTTTTTTTCACTTTAAAAATTTCATCAAACTTGAAAATGGGCCACTGGATAATTTTGAAAAATTCTTCACCTAATAGTGCCATGTCAGATTCAGGCATTTTCAAATATCAATTAATTTTTAAGTGACAAAATTTTCAAGTTTTTCTTCAGTGGATCTGGCCTTTATTTTGTCAGAACTTTGACCCTACCAGGTACCACTCTTGTTGTGGCCACTCCGGGTCATTTAACTCTTCCCTGACCTCTCTGGTCTTATAGGACTGCTGCTCACACCACACAATCTGGAAAGACCAAAAAATGATTTCAATGAAATGAAGAATTTCAATTAAAATTGTACAAGAAAACATGCACGCAATCATTTAAAATGTAATACATAGTTGTTAATTGTGAATGTGAAAATTCATGTTTTAACAACCAGTACTTGATTATATAATTTTTTTACTTTAATGTATTTAAGTTTAATAGATCATTTAAGATTTTAAAATAAAGATATCAAGGAAAGAAATCAAACAAGTATACTAACATTCAACAGTCAACAAATTTCATTTATACCCAACATTTTAATCCCAGGATTTTTTCACTTTAAAGCATTTAGTCTAGCAAGTCTGTTTATAATAAATTTACTCAACTGAAACCTATTATTCATAAACTATCTGTTTTAATGTGGCATCACAGTACAGACTTTACATGTAACAGGCTCTCATCAGCACACCTGGGAAGCTAACACCTCTGCATGCAGGTAGCTGCCATTACCTGGAGTTAAACCCTGTTTACACCTGGAGTCTTCCACTTAACTCTCACCTGTATTTGGCTAGTATAAAGCATCTCGCAAATCAGTTTTAAAGTGCATTTCCATTAGAAATATCATTTTGAAACAGCCTTAGATTCTTTTTAATAATTTTTGTGCAAAAAAAAAAATTATGTCCACAAACATGTTTTGGTGTGTCTGTGCAGGCATCACTGGAAGTCTTTAAAAGTTTCTTTTTTCTTTTTTTTTTCTATCTAATCTATGCCATAAAGTTTTCAGCTTACTGGCCATTTGGGACACCACTTTCTTAAAATCTACTGGTCTGACTCAAGATGCACTTGTCCAAATAAAAATTTCAATATGACTTCGGGTGTTTTCCTGCATTGCAGGACCTTGATTTTGTTAAACACTTTTTTAGAATCATCATGTAACAGGAACATTTTTCAGAAAAAAAATTCAATCAAATTGAAAGTTCTTTTGAAAACTTACAGAAAAAATCTAATGGCGATGTAGGACCACTAAATGAAAGTTTGTTGCATTCAATGCAGGCAGACAATGAAATGACTCAAAAATAAAATTCACAAGTCCCCATAATTATTCACCAACAACCAAATAGTGACCCAAAGTATCTGACAGCCTCCCCTGGCTATATAAATGCTGAAATCATTCTCTCGGTGAACATTTTTAATTATTGAGTACATTGTTAGGTCACAGTTATTGTAAAAGGGTACTTTTACCAAAATAACAAACAAATATGAAATTATGAAAGTTATTAAAATTAGAAACTTAAGAACTAAAAAACTGATACAGACTGGAATATTGTCTACAGATTTTGAGAGGACCATTAAAATGAAAACTGCTGACATTTCAAGGCAACTGAAATTTTTCTTAATAAAAGTCTAATGATCACCGAGTACTTGTAAAGTAAAAAAAAAAAATACTAATGATGATAATAATGATAACAAAAGGATTTCCTACTGTTCCTTTAGCTTTCATCTAGTGTCTATAATTCATTAAAAATTAGTTTCAGAGATTACTGGTCCTGCCTCCATAACAGTGGATCAGCATGCATTTGCAATTGGATGTGGCAGAGGTACAATGTTTCCAGTAATCTCAGAAAGACAGGGTGCTATAAGCCTACCTCTGGATCTTTCCGAATTTCAGCACATGAGGAGTATTTGTATCCATCTGAATCCCACAGGTAAAATTTACCAAATATCTGAAAAATGTCAAACATTGAAAGTCAATCAGAGAACCAACTATCAATGACAATTTAATGTACAACAAAATGAAGCTTCCTAGCAGAGTATATGGTACATGAGAAATCTTAAATAAATTGCTACACTAAAAGAAATATGTTACTGAAACTGATAATCTCCAAGGACTTAATATTCATCCTTGATATTAGTTGAGTGAGAATAAAGTGTTATATATTATATCTATAAGCATTTTATATCCATTCTTAAAAAAGTATTGAAAAAACATAAGAATTGAATAGAAGACATAAAACAAAGAAATCCATAGTCACATATTACTAGTAGGTCCACGAAAGATGGATGTTGAAAGAAGCAAGATGATTTCTTAAAATTATCTGCAATTGTCACTTCAAAAGATTATGCCAATCTAAAAACAAGGCACCAAAGCTATCAAATGTACATACATAAAGCAGAAAAAAATGTTGATGTGCAAAAAATAGGGTTTAATCAAGTTTAATACAATACTATATAATGTTTCACAGCATAATCACCAACATTTTTCAATTATGTACTACGTCACATGGACATTTAGAAAAGGAATCCAGTCAGACTGTGTATTTTAGTCCTTAAATTCATTCCAGTTTGTTTGAAGATAGTAAGTCACACAGTTATATATCCATTAATTTGATGTGCTTATGGTGATAATTGGATGGTGAAGACAGACAACAGAAGTAGGTGATGGCTCATTGTATAGACACACTGACAGCGATGGTGATATGGACAGACACAATGATCACAATATATACAGACACATGTACATGTAGTGTCTGTATATAAAAATTGGTAACAACAAAATATATTTTGAAGAGATTTTTGTACTTACATGAACAGCATGTACATATCCATATGTATTAGCAAGGTGTCTGGACAGCTCTGCGTCTTCTCTTAAAAGTTTTACTGCTACAGGTTGCTGTTTGGTCAAGTTCTGTTTGTTTCCATCAACTAACAAAACACAGGTGAGAACACAAAGGTAAAAAAGCAGCTGTAAACATAGTCTAGACCACTCCTTTATATGGGCAGTCATATCTTTGGTCTTATGTCTTGTTATCAATATATTAGTAAAATCCCTGAGGCCACACTTTGCGGCTGTGCAAATGTCTGTCTGTGGAATCTTCCTTAATTCCTGCAGACTTACTGTATTATTTCTGTTCTTTTACATGTAAATGTATATCCAAACTGTAATCCTGTACTCTGTTGTGGCTGGCTATTTTAGACCTCACAGAAGTTGAGATTTATAACTGATAGTCAGTGCTTATCATCAGAAGATTTTTTCCTGAAATAATATCTCCGAGTTCAATTCCTCTGTGCCCTTTGCCAATTGGTGTCTGTTGATTCCAAGTCCTTATGTTCAACCTGTAGTATTTATACTATCCTAAGATATCATACATTTGAATACTTCATACACCTTGGGTAGAATAATCCTAATTAGTCTTAGATCAGAAAAGGGAGAAATCTAAAGACCTGCAGAACATCTACTCATTAGGATCTCACTGTCCACTTTTCTGTATTGTGCAGTTGAGAGAGCCATAAACCCTAAATATTAATATATACCAATATACATATATTCCTTTCTGGGATTATTTGTAGTTCTGGCAACCATGTGTGCACATTTATTACCATTGTGTTATGTCTCCAGCACATGCATTTGCACGCATTTCCAGGTGGAACCAGGCAAACTGTGCCACAGGTAGAGCTCTGTGGCAACATCCATCAA